CATACCATACACCATAACATACACCCCCACATACCACATACCACACACACACACACACACACACACACACACACACACACTAAACTGAGCATGGTGGTGAACACTTGTTACTGCTTGGAAGCTGGAGGCAGGAGGATCAGAACTTAAAGGTCAATCAGAGCTCAGCTTTGAGCCAGCCTGGGCTAATGAGTCCTTGTTTCAAATCAAAACAAAACAAAAGTCATAAACCTGCTCTTTGAAAACATATATTTTTCTTGAAGCAAATTAAAGGATGTTTTGTTACCTTATTTCCTGGATTTATATGGGGTGCAGTGAAGGAGGTTTCATTTTCTTTGTAAATAATCTGAAACTAGCCAACATTGGAACATCTTCAGTTGGGCCCTAAGTCCCCATGGAAATGCTCCTGCATGCAGCTGCACCCCAGACATTTCGTAAGCTTTCTGGAGTTCTAGAAAGGCACAACCATTCCTTTTGTTCTCAATCAGATGTTCTCAACTCTTAGGGGCTGATAGCTCAGCAGTAAAATGTAAGCTTAGCATGTACAAAGCCTAGGTTCAGTTTCCACCAACAATAGACAAAGAGTAAGTAAACCAATAACTATATGTGCACACATGAGTAGTAAATAAGTATTGAAGAATGTTTTCTATCTCTCTCTGTCTCTCTGTCTTTCTGTCTGTCTGTCCCTTTCTGTCTCTCTCTCTGTCTTTCTCTCTCTCTCTTTGAGGCAGGGTTTCTCTATGTAGCTCAGGCTGGCCTTGAACCCAGAAATCTACTTGCCTCTGCCTTCCGAGTGCTGGGATTAAAGGCGTGTACCAACACCACCTGGCTGCTTTTAAGATTCTTTAGATATTACAGCTTGTATAGGATAGGGAGAGCTTCCCTTAAGAAGCTGGACATAAGAAAAACAAAATCACTTTCTGAAAGAAGCACGGATCGTGGGAGCCACCGTACAAAGTTCACTGTGGCCTAAAAAGTAGAGATGTGTTGCTCTGGGGGGCAGAGGTCTGGGGTGGGAGTCAGTGCCCTGTGTCTGTCTGCCAGCTGCGAGGGCATCTCTCATTGGCTGGTAAATGGCTGTTTTCTGCATGTCTTCACTCTGTAAAGGGTTATATTTACATTTCTTCTTAGGAGGATACTTCTTGATCAAGACTTCATCTTGATTATCCCACTGAAGACCCTATCAGTCAGTAAACTGTTCACTGACAGCATGGGAACCTGAGTTTGGATCTCCAGCATTCACATGGGTCATGGTGGCCAGTGTCTGTAATCCCAGCTGCAGGGTGGAGAGAGGGGCTTGGTGCCAGGAGGGGGGTGACAGAGGAGCACAGAAACAGGAGGATCTGGCTGCTTGCTGGCCAATCAGGCTAGCCAATTAGGGAGTTCCAGATTTAGTGAGATACCCTACCTTAAGTAAGGTAGAAGGAGGAAGCCACCTCACACAGACTTCTGGCCTCTACATGTTCACCCTGTCACATGTCCACATACATATACCATATAAAAACATAATTGATCTTTTCTCTAAATAGGTATATGTGCATGTGCATGTGTGTGTGGTATGTATGTATATATGTGTGTATGTTTATGCTGTGTATATGTGTGTTGTATATATGTTCATGTGTGTGTTGTGTTTGGGTGTATGTGTGTTGTGTGTATGTGTGTGGTGTGCATGTATGTATCTATGTGTTTTTTGTGTGCATATGTACATGTGTGTGGAGGTTGATGTCAAGAATCTTCCTCAGTCACTGTTCTACCTTAGTCTTTTGAGGCAGGGTCTGGTAACCAATCCCAAAACTCCCTGGTAGACTTGGTCTTAGTACTTAGCATGCTCCAAGGGTGCCCTGTGTCTGCCTTCTGAGATTGGAATAATTGGAATAATAATACCCTCCAGTGTTTGTGTGGTTTTGGCGGACCCAAACCTGTGTCCCTTTACTTGTGGGGGAAGTACTTTTGTCTTTGAGCTGTCTACCTAGCCCTATTTTAGTTCTTGAGACAGTGTCTTAAGTATCTCAGGCTGGCCCCAAACTTACTATTTAGCCAGCCCTTGAACTAATTGCTTTAAGCAGTTGCATACTTTTCTGTAGAACATACATATATTTCACTTAATTATTCTCTTGCTAATTGGTATTTATGTCACTTCTGTTTCTCAAACTATGATAAACATGAACACAATATATCTACTTATTTGCCTTTGAGAGCTTGTGCAAACAGATATCTGCAAAATAATTTTTATGCACAAAATAACCAGGACAAAGGAGATTTTTATATGTTTAAAATATTGATACATTTTGTAAACTGCTGTAAAAAGTGACCGTCAGTTTACTTGCCAGATTCTATGTCTGTCATTTTTTTAATTTATTACAGTGCTAAGTAAGGCCTGTCACTTAGGGCCCAGGAGTTGGCACAGAGGGACAAAGAACCTTCTGTGCTTGTCATGGGAGATGTGAATTTTATGACCCTCCCTTCCCGTGGTCCAGGCT